GGTCAGTGAGGGGATAGCTGGTAGTAGCCGGGTGGACGTTAATGGTCAGTAAGGGGAAAGCTGGTAGTAGCCGGTTGGACATTAATGGTCAGTCAGGGGATAGCTGCCAGTAGCTGAGTGGACATTAATGGTCAGGGGATAGCTGGTAGTAGCCGGGTGGACATTAATGGTCAGTCAGGGGATAGCTGGTAGTAGCCCTTCCCCCTTTTTTTTAATTGATCGAATTCCTGAACTCGGGTTTTTGAAAGAATTGGCACTGCACAGCAGAAAAGTGATGTCAGATGTATTAAGAATATCCTGTTAAGCATGACCAGTTTGTGCCGGCTGACTTGCCTGCACAACTTGACAGTCTGATCGTCACAGGGATGGCCATCAGCTTAACCTGTACATGCTAATCCCTATTGATTTATACACAAACACAACCTTGGAGAAGTCTTTGGAGGTGAACGGTGTGTTGAAAATGACCTTGGCCGTTCTGCACGGCCTGTTCTATCAGGAGAAGTACCGTATGTCTCCAACATCTCAGAGTGTTACAAAATGTGAGGTTGGGGTTAAAATCTGTTACAGATATTGTTCCAGTGACCCTAAGAAGCCATTGTATCTGGTGTTTTGGCTGAACTAGCATATCATATGGCTGTATATCTTGCATTTTGCAGTAGTTGGCCAAAATATGACTGTCCATAAGTGGGACTTTTGATAGTGAAGATGTACATGTACGCATATTTTTAGATATTTTGGGGGCTTCACAGTGATTTGGATAAAACACCTCCCACAACACAGAGAAGTAAGAGGTCCTTCAGACATTGCAGATTACCTTGTCATAAGAGGAATCTTGTGTGTTCAGAAATGAAAACAATGAAAAACAGAAGATTGGGACCTAAAAAGTTCCTTGTAATAAGCGGAATGTTGCTCTTATTAACGAGGTTTAACTGCCGTCAGATTGCGCCATAAGAGTGGAAACTATCAATGAGTGTTTGGTCATCTGTTGACAGCCATTCCAGAGATCAAAAGTCCCAGCCAGCAGACAGCCAAGCTGGATGGCAAGGCTACCCTGGAGTGCTTCACTGACACCAAGCCGGACCCCTACCTGGCGATGTGGACCTGGGACGATCAGCAACTGGAGGAAGGTAGGCTGTCTCATGGTGAAGGGCCCGGATTCGATTTCTAGCCAAATGTGGAAAGGGGACTCCCCTGGATCATCTGATACGATGACCATGCCACCATAAATAATACCAGCATTGCTTTGTTAGAGTCCAGTACCACGTCCTGCTTTTCCAAAATCACTTCCACTGTCTGGCCACTTTTTTAACAAAAATCACATCGTACGCCTGGATTGGATATCTGGTTCAGATGTGATTTTTAAATGATGCCTGCCAAAATCACTTTCTATCTCCACTATCACATCCGCCCAAATCATCGTTCCATTTGAGTCAGGAAATCACATCCTGGGCCCAATTTTACGGAAATGCTCGGCAGCAGAAAAGTCACGCTTACTATAGCCGAGAAATTTGCTGACCCTAAGCTCCATTTCGTGGTGGTGCTTGGCGTGGTGGAGATTTCCATTGCTTTGTCACTACGTCAAGCAAAGTGTTCGTCCAAGATAAGTATGCCTTTTGCCGTGCTTGCTGTGTACCATGGTCTTCATGAAATATGTAGAGCCACTGCTAATGTAAAAATCTTGTGCCTAGCAGTGCCGTTAAATGGGGCCAGGGCCATTTGCCATGTCTGTTCTGCAGCGGATTTCATGAAACGTTCCCAACCATGCCAACAGCGTTCACGTCACTCATGCCATGTTTTATTGCTTACGTTGCTTACGAAATTGTAGGAAAGTTGTCCTCACCCACTGGGCTCAACGTAGACATTCACTCTTTACAGAAGTGAACATTTTCCTGTTCAGTCACTGTCCTGTAGAATTCAACTCAAAGAGTGTGGTATAACTGAACATTAATTATGTATTGCAGATTTATAATAATTACTGCTTTATTTTAAATGACTTACTTCCAAATTCTTGTGATTGTGTTTTAAAAGTAGGAGTGTGGCAGAGACGTCTTCAATCAATGATGTATGCTCTTGGGGTACAATTCTTTTATGGACGTCTTGTACCTAATTACAGATATTCCCATCCAGACCGTTCATGCCCCGGCAGATTGTTCCCACGGGCATACATGCCCCACGGTGGAACGATCCAAAGGAGTGGTCCCCGTTCCAACGGGCACACATATCATTCTAGAGGAATGCTGGAATGGTCTGGTGGAATGGTCTGAAACAACGGAAACATTCCGACTTTTGAGATACTTCCTTTCAGGGAATTCCACATCACATGCTTCATTGTTAGTGTCAATTAATTGAATCAAACGATTCCATAATAAAAAAAAGAACAATTACTCTGTCCAAACAATATTGAAACCTTGCGGCCCAAATTGTGTGATTGTCATTATTAATGAAAACATTTTTTACTTAACTCTCCTTGTACTTCAGGGACAGTGGGACGTTTTACTGCCACAAAGCGAGAGGCGAACGGCGGCGTACTGAGTGAGCTAGTTATTGATGGGGTCACACCAGCTGACTTTGGTGTGTACAACTGCACCATGATGAATGAAGTTGGAGACGTGTCCTTGTTGATCACACTCATACAGCAAGGTGAGATCTTCACGAGGTGCCGGACCACACGTAGTGCCTGGCGTATCACCGCGTGGTGCAACCTTGTTTCACAACAGGGATGTTCAATCTTGCGGCAGTCGCAGGATTCCGACTTTTGCCTATTTTGGGAAAAAATTTCCTGCCTTTGGCATTTGTTGGGTGGAACAAGAATATTTTAACAGGTGGGAATTAACCACTATTCATAAATACCCCAGACAGTCTCCCTATGCAACGATGTGCAGCTTGACTGTGTATTTAACATTTGATAATGCCCACTGAGAAGTGATAATGCCCGCTGCGTAAGTCACGTGGTGGCACCTGGATACAGGACAGTTTAATCGGGTCTGATTGGTCAAGATTCTGTGTGCATGCGGCTCGCCACGCATGTGCCAAGTCCATGTGAGGAGATTCTTTCAGACAATTTCTGCAAGAAACTTACCACAAAATGCACAGGATGGTCAGGAAAATTAAAATAAAATTCTAGAACAATATCAGTCTAAATCCATCATATGTTGGCTTCTTTTGACTCTCCGACTTATAAGATATTTATGAATGGGAATAAATATATTCTTGGCTGGTCTTACACTAATGTTGAAGACTGGCTCATGAGACTGAATGCTGATAATGCCACCGACCTTTGACTCGCGCCATTTGTTACGCCCATACACGTTTAAGCCCGTATTTCCTTATTAAAATTTTCAAAAGATACAGTATTCTATCTCAGGATGCCACATTTCTGGGTAAAATGATTTGATTTGCGCATAGCATGGGGCAGTGTAAAAGCCGTGTCTTTTGAAATACACGTATGCAGAAATTCACTGTTGCTTCACAGAGGGAGTCACATGGTTCCTTTCATAAGACTTCATTGACCCGGCTCTCCAGAAGTTCTCAGCTTTTCCTGTCATCCGCCCTTCCTTCCTTGTTGTATTCTTCTATTTGTTCAGATCTGGATCTGATTGTTTGGATAATAATCGCTGTCATCGGAACTTCTGCGGTTATCTTTGTCTTGACCATCATCGTCATGTTCTACTGCCGAAGAAAGTGGCAAAGTGAGTCCAGTTCTCAGTGACATAGATCACCTGTGTCACCATTGTCATTCTTTACGTCATTATGCTCTTAATCGCCAGTGACAGTTCCCGTATTATCACCTTGATTAACGTAATAAGTCTGACCGTCATTACATGTACCTTGATGACTGCTGTTTTCCCCATCTTCATTTGAGTCATCAGGGCTACCATCGCTACGCCAGTCGTGGTAATTGTTAGTTTCATTGTTATCACCCAGAATGCCTAGGTAACCTTTATCACCATCATCAGTGTCACCACTGCGACCCTCACCACCATTGTTACCATCATCCTTACAGTATCAATGTCGTCATTGCGGCCCAGTTAGCACACCCACTTCTCCTTTGCTTTGACCTCAGGGAGGAAGAAGGCCACATCCCTCAACAAGGGCAAAGTCCAGCTGGAGATCGTGCGGAAACTCACCACCGACGATGACGACCAGAGGACCAACTCGGACAGCTACAGCTACAATGCCACTCCCCCCAGCACCCCAGGGAAGCCACGCTATGCCGAGCCGTACGAGTTCACCCGGGGGCGACGCGACTCATTTGATGACCCTCACTATCGAGCTCCGAGGCGTCAGTCAGATGGCTATTCGTATGACGGGAATCACCCCGATCGATACCCTGATAGATACGCTGAAAATGAGTATTCTGAACCCATCGTCCGTAGGGTAAAGCACTTTTCTTTTTAAAAGGGGTCCTTTTCTTTCACTGTCTATATGAACCTCGCACCATCTGAAATCACTTTCAGAGGGAAAAAACTTTGAAAATTCATACATACGTGCTTCATTGTCATGTCTGAAATTGGACAAGCATTGTTTGTTGTTAAATTTTCGTGTGTCGATAGAACTGACTTGTAGCATGTTTTGTTGTTGGTTCACAGAAGGTGGATGATGACCGAGTCTCATACCATTCAGACCGATCGGAGGACTATGGCCGTAGGGACCATGGAGACAGTCGCTACGACGATGCCATGTATGATGACGAAGTCAAGCAGTACAACTCCAAGGATCCCCGCTACGCCGATGACACTCCCTACGACGACCAAAGCTATGGTAACCGTAGCTACGAAGACAGCGAGGAGCGCAGCCATGGTGACCGTCGCTATGATGACGGTTACTCATATGAGGATAGCAGTCGCCGCTACAGCTACACAGGCTCAGAGGGGGGCTCTGATGCCTCCCAGGTGGCTAGGAACAAACTGGCCACCAACGTGTGATGACGGCATCGGTGTGGCTTGGCTGCAGGAACTGAGCTTTGAATGGTTCAATTCATCATCAGTGTTCCAGGTTCATTCATTGAACGATTTGAGCTCATTTGAGCGATTCATTGCTCAGAGATAGTTTTATGCGGTGGCAGTGGTATGACAAGATTAAGTTTTTCATCAGAAATGGCAAAGGAAATTTTGTTTCCGTGCACACAGTCGTACCTTTTTGACCAGGGCGAAAAAACCTGGCAACCAAAAAATTAACACTTCCCTGAGATAGATTTGTAGGAAAAGTACTTGATTTGTACCTGCTGTTTTGGGTCAGAATCCTGCAATTTGTCCCACGTTACGGGCCTTTGATTTTCCTCAAATGCCAGGCTCTTTCGCGCATGCTCTCATTTTACCAGCGGGAAGGGTGCTGATCAAAGCTTCAGTCAGTTTTGCGGGTTCAGCAAGCTGTACATGGGGGTGTTTGGATTTGACAGCTTCATCTTTGGCTGGATCAATCTGTTGTGCACGTGTAAAACACTAGCGGACTCTGACAAATTGATATGTTCTTGCTCTAGAGGTAAGTGAAAACTTGCCAAAGTGTGACCTAGCAAGCACCTTACTTTTTCGTAGTGTTACTGGAAACCTGTGGTTTGGACGGTCCTTAGACATGAAATGTAATCTGCATGTAGTAAGACGCAATCCTTACCGACATTTTCTGACATCGATTCTGCGTTTCAAGGCAGGGCAAGACTTAATAACTCTTTTTGTACTGAGGGCTCGCCACAGTAGGCCAATCACTGGTTGGTGAAAACTACAATTGTAACATAAGCACATGAACAGTCAGTATTGCTGCTGTACTGTACATTAAAGTCATGCATGGAGTTACCACAATGCCGCCCCACTACTGTCATGTAAAAGTGACATCCTGTCGAGCGTGTCCATTTTTGTGAACAAACTTGTTGAAAACTTGAAATTTAGTGACAGCTTTAGCGTAGCTCTTTGAATAGGCCCGCATGTACATGTAAGTCAGCATTTGTATGGCACGTTTACTGCTGTGTTATTGAAGTTAATTGAAACTCACTGTCAGTATTATAAGTGTTGTTTTGCTCTCAAGTAAAGATGTCCTTACCTGTATAAAGACCACAGATGATTTTTACTGTGGATTTTTAATGAATACACTCAGAAAATGTGCTTGTCGGATACTTTTGCATCGCATTGAGAGTACTTTGAAATTTGGTCCATCTCACTCCAGTAAGTTTTACAAACACATAAGTCAGTTCAAAATGCCCACATTCAGGATGCTTCCAAAGTATTTCCATGCATGAGGAATAAAAAGTTAGGCCTCTCGTTATTTATGATTAAAGTCTGGTTGATACTCTGCACTGAAGTGAACTTGAATGTGGTTTTTGTAAAGCCAGATCAAATATCCGTCTTGTGATTTTGCAGAAGTGGAACACATTTCAACCCAAGTGAATTTCGCTTAACTTTCTTGTTCTCTTGTACCAGTAGTATGAAAAAGCCTTAACCCTCCAGCCTACTTTGGCTAGAAGCCCTGCCAGACATCAGTCTGCATCATTGGTCAAAGTGGCTTGCCGGGCTAGTGTAACAAGATCCAACAGGTCAACTCTCCCCAAGGCCAAACAGCCTGGGAGTCTGTGGTTGTCAGTCACCACAGGACCCACCAGTGGCATTGTTCAATGGGACGAGCTCCCGTTGTCTCAACATAGCCAGTTTGTTGGGCTGCTGTTGATTGCCCAGCCCATCAAAGTGCATCAGACTTTTTCACCTGATGCCCTGTGCTGCGTCTGGTAGGGTTAGGGCTTAGGCACAGCTGTAATATAAATGCCCAGCTCCGCCTCTCACTGGAATCACTCACGGAAGGCAGGACAGTGCTAGCTAGGTAGCAGAAGGGCTCCAACCTGTTACAGAATGCTGTACATTTTCGCCCCAATTAAAATTTACAGTTTGCCACTTCAGATACATTCCAGTATTGCTTTGTAATGCCATGAGGTCCATACAAATAGTTGGGAAGTGTTAATGTTTAACAATACGGTTCTTAAAACTTGAGGATACATGTATTTCACAATGAAGCTTTGTCTTGAGAGTACAACTAATGGAATGATTGAAAAGATATTTCAAACTGCGTGTTGTTACATTTTCGAAATTGGCTGGAAAGCTGTGTAAAAAGCACTGTGTTGTGTTTTGAAGCCAAATTCAAATTTAACTTCTTTTGCATAAATCTTTGTTTAATTTACTTGTGTGGCATTGTTATAAATGTCCTTGTGATCACAGCAGAGTTGGCAAAATCGTCCTCTTGCCACATCAACATGAATTGTTGACGGTCTTTGTGATGCATTCCGCTTCTTACTTCAAAACACACCAAAGGGACAAGTACATATACAGCCAATTATTGTGACCTTCACATTTTAATGGTTCAGTACTTGAGAGTTATTTTCATGTCAAATTCAGTGATGCATCTTGATAACCATGTGTACACGGCACTTGTACCCGTGTAAACACAAAAAACCTGAACATGTCACAGGTGTACCGGATTCTGCCGCTGTGAGTAGACTTGTAGGAGATAAAAGGCTATTGTATTATAAATTGAAGACACCGGCAGAGAACACCACAAAGTCTGCTGCTGGCCATGGACAGGGCATACATCTGTAAAATGCTCATGTTCAAATAGACACCTGAAAGGTACCTACATGTATTAAGTATGCACACATTTGTACAATGCTTGGCAAATGGGAATGTCCCTTTGAAATTATGCGCGGCAGTCAACGTGTTAATTTACAATGTACTGTTTTTCTAGGAAACAGGTTTTTCGGATGTAGATTTCTTTTGTATCTAGTATACCTGTACATACCCAGTAGTACTATAGTTTGACAGCATGTAAATATGAACCATGGAAGCTTTGATTAAACAGTAGGAAGGGCATTCAGTCCACCTGCTCACGTTTCTGTTTACAACCAATGGCGGTGGAAAGATTTTCCAAAGTGGAGGGGGGGTACAGTGTGAGACGATCAGGCATCAGCCATCAGTGCCCTAATCCATTGAAGCAGGGGTGAGATTTGTCAGGTTTTTTCCCCATTTTGGTATTTTCTTGGTTTTCAAACAGTTGGGGAAATGTTGAGATCTCCTTTAAGGTGCTTTTAATGATAAAAGTTGATAAATAACCCAAAAATGGGCATTGGGGGTACGGTACCTTGAGGCAGACAAATTTATACCATAGTCCCAGGGCCTGCACTGCTGTGGGCCTTCAAAACCGCTGGTCGGATTATTTCATGGCTATTTGCTATTCCTCCAATCTCACCCCTGGCGATGGCCCGCCCTATTGCACACAGTTTGTCAAAAGCATTCAGGACAGACAGTCCTGCACTCACCACCACCTCCAGTATGTTAAACACTTGGCTGTACACCTGTCACTCTCCAGTCTATCACAAGTCAATCACCACTACGTGTATTGTCACATCACACATTGCGATTGAGTCATCACGTTGCTGTCTTACCTACCTATAGTACTTGGAAAGCCTTTGTCTCACACTGTCAAGTTAATTGACATTTGATTGACCAGCCCTTGACTAGTAAAAGCCTCACTGTCATTCTGGTGGAAAGAAATTCACATTAATCTGAGCCTGTTTAATAGTTTGGTTACTTGTTTGCCTTTCTTTTGTTCCTTTTTGTTTTGTCTTGATTTTTTTATTCATTAATTTACTGTTTATTTTTTAATCGGTTGTTATGGGGTGATCTTGTATTGTTTTGCTTTTGTCAGGGTTTGTCTTCTTGTCTCTCTGTTGTACACGTAGTTTTTGCCCCAGAACCTTGGTTGTGAAGTCAGTTGAGTCCAAACCATCCTCTAGAACATTCAGCTCAGCAAGGCAACCAAGCTAACTGTACACATGCTGCTCTCCAGAGATGTAGAAAAAGCGTAACCGTAAGTAATATCTGATCTATTACCTAAACTTCAACCTTAGAATATTGGAAGACACCCATGTACAGTTTTTAGAGGTCGACCTTTTTTTTAAAAAAAGTATTATGCATAATTTGAAATAAGTTAACCTGTACTTGTTTTTTTGTTCATGTAGATTTAGTGTGGCTTTACCGAGTACTCTAAACATAATAAATTTAACCAAAGCATGTACTTGTTTCTAAGCAGTATATTTATTTTTATTCTCCAGTTTTCTTTCTGTAAATTAAAGATTTTGAGGGTCTTTCCCAACCAATGAAATTATTCCAGCTTTTTTCATTGATAGCATTTTGCTCACTATGAAGCCTGGCACGAATTGAATCAAAGACTGCTTGCCATTGTCATGGCATCATTCCAATAAAGGTTTTTTTGGAAGTACACAAACCTTTTAAAGTGTCTATCTGTATCCACTGTCTCGCTTTAAAAATGCAATCGTTAAATTTTCTTGAAAGGTGCAAGTACATTGTACTGAAGTATTTGGACCTGCGAGTTGGAATAATAATTAAAGAAGATGTGCTTGGTAGCCACCTTTCCAGTAATTGTTTTTGTTATGGAGGGATAGCACAAAATCCCTACTCGTGTATCCCTGTGGAACGAAAGCCCTTACCAGGATAGCGGCTGCCATGCACAACCTTTATAGAGGAATGTAACACGCACATTCCATCTGCATGTAAGCATGGTGTCACCGCAGTAATGCTTTCTAATTTTGGTCCTTGGATTAGTTTACAAGTTCATCCTTAGTGCTTCTTTGGCAGTCATAAGACAGCATTCTTAGATGGGACTCTAACCGACAAACCCCAACCTCCTGCAGGGAGTTTATCTACCATCAGCAACCTTTACTTGGAAGTGTACAAAAACATTTCGCCTCTATTTAAATCTATAAAAAGGGAACTGTGCATAAAAACCGTAACATAACACGTGATCTAAATGAACAGAACAGCCGAAACTATGTAATAAAGAAACTACCTATGTAATAACAATATACAAGGACTTCAGACCCCTGACAACCAGATAAAAACCAGTCAAAAAAATACGTGCTATAGAGTTACTAGCAAACATTATGGGGCTCATCATGCTGGCAGTGTTTTGTGAATATTCACAAATTCGTTTAACACTCCACAAGCTAACCTTTAACCCCTTGCTGACGGGAATTTCTTTCCGAAAGCCGACTCCAAGAATTCCATCCTCACTTGGCCACGAAGGCCACCTACCAAACAGCAAATTTTCAGTTTGTGGCCCTGCATGCTCTGCACGCTTTGAATTACTCGGTGAAAAGGCTCATTGTTCGGTGGCATGCGGCTCTACTCACCCTTCCACATTCCCGTTGCCTCTTTTCAAAGTGGGGACTATTGTGAAGCTGGTGAATATGATGCAAAATCGGTCTTTTCAATTCTGGGCTACGCACAAAGACCAATTACCAAATATACAAGAGCCAGGTTCTGCCTTCTTTCACCGTGTTCGCTTGAGCGTGGGCCGAGAATAATAGCTGAAAAGGATCTAAATTTTTACAGCGGCTACAGCCACTTCCCGGTGCGAAGGGTTAAAGCTTAGCAAAACGGGTATACATTGCTCATATTTTTGTTGTATTAGAACTAGGCTATACACCTACTGAGCCGCACTTAAATAAAGTGAGTTCTTCAAGTTCGGAACCGCAACAGCACAGCGTTCAGCGTCAATTTGGTTCAGCAAATTACATTTGGCACAGCAAGCCCTTTAGCTTGATAGGGTGTGCCGCGCCATCGGTGTTCTGCATGGCAGTGGCATGACACTACTCTCTTTAAGTTTGACATGGCAGCAGCGTATAGTCTAGGCCTTACTTTTTAATTATTGATTTAAAAGGTCCTGAATTCCCAACATAAACTGTTTCCTGAACACAGATCCAGCCAGTGCACCCATACACACACAGACACAAGACAGAAACGGCATATCCCTTCAGCTTTGCTCAGAGCATAAAAAAAATGTCTTTTTATAAATCAAACTAAACACCTTTTCTGAAGTTGACAAATAGTGAGATAGGCTGCACCAAAGAAAGACCGTCAATACAGAAGAATAAAGTGGAGGTACAAGTCTTCACATTCATGACGTGGACAGGAAAAATTCACCTCCAAAGTTTCCATAACTATTAAAAAATTTGCACCACGGAAAAGACTAAAAACTTCATGTAGTCTCAGTCAGTCTTGTTCCTCCTAGCGTCTATTTCTTGTTTCGCTGCCTCCAGTATCTTGTCTGCGCCATTTTTTAGCATTGCCGTGGCAACCGTGGACCCAAGCTGCTCGGCTGCATGGAGTGCATTGTGGGATAGATTGGGGGCAATGATGAAGGAGTACAGTTGGAAGGAATCTGGACTGTTGGATGGCTCCTGTTGGACAAAAAATGTAAAAAAAAAATTGTACAATGAGCTTCCTAAGCAAATTAATGTTATTGTGCGAGTGTACGAGTGAAGACATCTCGACTGAAATGTGGCTAAGGATTTTCTGAGTGGTTAAAATTGAAACTTGGGGCCTGATTGTTTCACGGGGACCGGATCGCGATCAGTGATTTGAGGTTGGCTCACTGACACAAGAACCCGCCTCATGGATAGAGAGAACCAGCTTTGGGATCATTGATGGAGAGCCAGATCTGTGTGATACAAACAGGCCCTTTGACAGTCTTGAATGCCAGATGTTGTAAGTGGTGTGCATGAATGCCGTGGCCACACATTTGCTATGTCTGTCTTGATCTGCCCACAGACCGATCCGTTTCACCATGCAATTCTGAACACACACCATGCTGCATGA